TCTAGTCCATTATATTGTAACCACGTTGACTGTGTGGTAGAAAGACGTATTGTATCATTAAATATTAATAATAGACAGTTATTGTAGGGACCAGCAACGTAGGCCTTAAAAATGTGTTTTATTATTATGTGATCAAATTTGAACAGCAATCATGTGACTCCTGTGTGTCCCTTCTGCTGTGTTTTGTGTATTTGAAATAGTTTTGTTGTTTACTTGGTAATATAATATTACACTGACTGCACGGACTCACTGTAAACATATGAACACGACGTGTGAAGCTGACAGTGTTGACAAATCATAGCTAGAAAAACACTAATGCTAATGCTTAGCCTAGCTCAGTGTTAGCTTAGCATCACAGCAAAAACACTGGGAATTTTTACTGACTTTTATCCTGTCATTTAAATTTCCTTTTTAAATTGAGACAAGTACTTGATGATGTGGCCGCCAAAATGTTACCATTTGTACAGACAGTAATAAATAATACAAAAAAAAAAATGCTGAAATTATTTTTAGCTTCTTAATGCAATTTCAAAATTCCTTTTAATACAGAGCAAGTACATTTTTTGATCAAAGTACCGTTGTGTGGTATTATTATATTATTTACTCCTTTAGGAATTAAACAAAGAATGAGGACCAGTAATAATCCTCTAAACCGAGGTCTCAATCTCCCGGTCTGTGGGCCACTTCAGGCCCGCAGACCGGGAGGATCAGGAGATGCGACGTGATGTTTACACCCAGGACGCACAGGTGAAGACACTGTGTGCCCTCCATCAGGTGTATTTACTGACAACCTCATTCTGTTGCAGGGCATGTGGGCAGAGAAAACACCAGAGACCTCTTTGAACCTCGTGTTACAGTCTCCTCTGCCATTTAGCTTTGGTTGAATCAAACCTAAAATAGACGAACCTCCGCTGCAGGATGTTTTTGCACCGTGTCCTATAATAATATTTGTTGTCTTGTAATTCTTTATCCTTGCCCTTTAAGGTATTCGTTCAGCCTCTCAGATTTCACATATAAGTATAAACACAAGGTCTTCTGTGACACTTGACTGTTGGTGTATACAACGAATCATTTGATTGTTGAAGCATTGAGCCCAAAGTGACACACAAGCAAGAGAAGGTGTGTTTTGGATGGAACGTAAGTTTTTATTTTGGCAGAGGATTGAAATAGAAAATAGCTTCAAGTAAGAACTTTTATATTGCCCAATTAGTCCAATTAGAGGAGAGGAGTGAAATACATTTGAGGGTCGCTTTAACCTCACCAGCATGACAACAAACCTTTCAGTTAATAAAATGATAATTTATAATAACTGCAATCAACGAAGGCAAAAACAAACTCAGTCAACACTTGAAATCACCTGTGCACTGAACCAGCATGCACGTTGTTGTTGTTCTACAAATGATTGACAGGTCCCTCATGATGCAAACGTCTCTCGTTATTAGTCCCACAATGTCAGCATGCAGTGGAAAACAGGAACCTGCCAACAATCCCAAGAAGTGGTTTAAAATACCAGATACAAACTCTTTACTACGTGTGTATAGAAAACCGATCAGAGCCACTGATGCTTACAGCAGCAAACACCAGAGGTCACGATCCACGGCTGACCTCGCCGGCAAAACACCAACCTGTTTATGTCATTGCAGCATGGAACCCAAATAAAAGCCAGAAAAATAAACAATTCAGTTTCAGACGCAGTTTTCCACACATGTGGGGGAGAGGTGCTGAAAGAACAGAGGGAGGAAACAAAAGAGTGCTTTGGATTGTGGGTAACTGAAGCTGCGAGCTCCACTGCGAGCTGGCAGTCAGTTTTTGGCTGAATAAAATGACTAGAGCACAAAGTTCACGAGGTTTATTGATTTATATTGTTATTAAGTTGTAAACTTGTACCACTGCTACCAGGAGATTAACAGCAGCCGTTTGTAATTATTATTTTTAGGAGAAACTTTGTCATCATATGTACAGTCAAATGAGTGAAAGCTAGAGCTACGATTAGCGTTTTAATCCAACAGCCAAAGGACATTTGATATTTAGGACGATAATCAATGCAAAAAGAGTTGAAGTGTCACAGTGTCACTGCTTCTTCTTTTTTTTTTTACAAGGAAGTATAAATCTCCAAAGTTCATCCATCTGTCTACACATCCATCCATCCGTTTTCTAATGTTTATCCTTGTCATGAGGAGCTATAGCTCATCAAGGTTGACAGATAGGGGTAAAAGGTGAGGTCAACCCAGCAAAGGTCATCGGTCCATGGCAGGGTCAACATACAGAGAGAATCAAAGTAAACAATATTTCACACTCCCATTCACACCTGATGTCTGCAGAGATTGTGCAATGAGTTTGAAGACAACGTGCGTCCTCTGTGTTTTCCTATTTAGGCAACGATGTGAGCGATGCTATGACAGCTGTGTCAAAGAATAACCAACGATCTTCTCTGGGGGATTCTCCCATGATGGCAGGTCCTTCTCAGTATAAACACTGCTAATAAAAGCCACATACCAGTCTGGTACACACATACACACTGGGTGTGGGTGTGTGTTGAGTCTCATCACAGACTGTTTTTATGACCTTAAATATGCAGCAGAAATAAAATAAGCAGAAACACAAGGCAATTTATACTTAAAATATAATTTCTACCTGCAGTAGAAGCACATGGGTTCACATGAGTCACGTTAAGAGCAAACATGACTCATGTGAACGCAAACATATATCTTTTCATGGATGTTGATGAAGCACAAATCCCCTCAAAGCAGCAAAATCCTAAAAAATGGAAATGGTTTGCAGTATATAAATACATCATGTGTAAAAACCCTAAACTCCAGGAACTATTTAAACATGTTAATATATTAATGATGAAAATGACACAATGTTTCATATGGAAGTCTACTTTCATTTGCATGTACTGTCCTGAATATGTTTGTGTTCACTGCCCTCCGGTGGTCCAAGAAGATACTACATTGATGCGCAACCAGTCTTCAAGGTAATTTATTTTCAGAAAACATTTAAAAATTTTAATACCATCTCAGTCAGAAGTCAGTCAGTCAGTCAAAGGTAATTTATTTTCAGAAAACATTTACAAACTTAATACCATCTCAGTCAGAAGTAAAATGCCGGAGGCTAATGGCCGGTTGTGACTAAATGCTGGGTCACATCCCGTCACAACTGCCTGGCTGTTATCATCATTTCAACAGCTAAAAAATCCACAGAGAGCCTGGGAAATATTTTGACTATTTAAAAGATGGCAGCAGTGTAATGTGCATGTGATTTTTTTAAGGCACAGTGAGGCTAAACTTGGTCCATTGCTACAATGGGTGAAGAGCCGCACGAAGCTCAGGAGCCACAGGTTGCACGTACCTGCGTTAGTGCCTTTCGTTAGAATGCACATTGTGCACTATTGATATCTTCCTACCACTCAGGGGCAGTGTTGCATCGTGCTGAATTATTTGTGTTTGTCCTCAATGTCTCAGTTACCCGGGTGGGTTGAGACGCAGACACACAGGTATGGGGCAGGAGGTAGGTGGTGCTGTTGGAGCTGCAGACCAAACGCAGTAGGCTGGATGTGGACGGGCGCGCACTGCCTGACGGGTTGTTATGATTAACATCGAGGGGGAGGTTGTTAGTTGGAGGGTAACTCGCCTGCAGCACCATGAAGGATGAGGATGCTGCTCTGTAGACTCTGAGGTCCGCGCGCCTCCGACACTCATCACTTTTGGAATCGGCCGCGCCGTGAGATTCATCCTGGACCTAAAGTCTCCACAGCTGGAGGTCTGGTAATTCCTTTCCCCCCAAGTTGCTGGACTTGAGTTCTTTGGAGTATTGATCTGTGATCTGTGAGCGCGTGTGCATCGGCTAGACATGTTGTCGCTCTGTGGAAGTTGAGTTTTGCGCACGCTCTTCTCCCCAGACTACTCTTTATTTCCCCTCATCATCTTACTTCAACTAAACTCTAATTTCGTCCGCGGGGGGGACATGACCAGCGAGAGGAAACCGCGGCTTTGTCTCATGACAAAGACAGAGAACGGATATG